ATTTGAGAAAGTGGAGCTCTTCGGCAATGACGCAGGTGTCGAGGAGGAAGAGGAAGACAGGGGGATGGGTAAGGTTAGGGTTGATGTTGTTGTTGTTGTTGAGTTGGTATTCCAGAGTGGTGTATTGGGGATAGAGTTCGGCAGGGAGATTCGTTTCCGAGATTTGGGCGTAGTGAGGGGGAAAGTGGTTACGGTTGTAGCAGAAGGGACAGATCCAGATCTTGGCGGTCAAGTCGACGCGCGAGAAGGGGTTGAGGACGGAGAAGCAAGTCTTACAGCGGAGAGGCGCGTAAGGTAGCGTTAGGGGAATGTCTGGATGGGGACGGAGGAGGGCAATGGTTGCGGCGAGGGGTATGACGCACTTGCTCGCCTCCACCTTGGTGCGCGGCCACAGATTCCACGTCATGCGCACTCCGTCCACGCCTTCGGGATCCGTCTGAGCCATCTCCGACATTGAATTCAATCGGCTCAATCAATGCCCGACTCGGAGTGAAGATTGAGGAAGCGTTCTTTCTCTGACTCTCTCTTGCCACCAAGGGGACCACCGTTACCCAAGTAAAAGTAAAGGAAAATAAGGTTTCACCACCTCGGCTTACCTCCATTTCTTTTCCTTCAAATTTTGCAAGGTTTAAACAAATAAAGTTATACTTAAAAAAAATCATTTTTTTCCCTTTTCCAATAACTTTTCTATTATCTATTTAATTTTGATTAAATCATGTTTTATTTTTATTTTTTAATACTGAAGAAGGAGGAGAAAAAAAGTTCACAAAATTAAAATGTTCTCTATTGTAAAAGTTATAAAAATAAAATATTCACAAAAGTTTTTAAACTACAAAGTCATGAGTTTTCTTTTTAATACATGAGAATATTAGAAATCTAAATGTGAAAACATTAAATAAAATATTATATAAAAATGAAAAATTTATTAATTTATTGTTTTAAAATTTATAAGATTTGAAGAAATGAATAATGTTAATTCATTATATAAATCTCATAAATGTTTGTCTTTCTATCTATGTCTTTTAAGTTGTTCTTAAGTATTGATATCACCTACATACACATTATTATTTTCTTGGTTCATACATAAATGTTTCTGCATTTTAGTACAAGTTTATATAATTCAGTAACTGAAGATTTTTTAAACAGAATTTTCAAATAGATAAAAGATATTGTTGTCTTTAAGGTAAAGTTTTTGGTTTTTACAATGTTTTTTTTTTGTTTTATTTGCAAACTTAAATTCAAACTCAATATTGTATATACACAAACTTATGCTTTGTTCACGTGAGAATATTCGAAAGAGATGATTTGAGAGAGAGTGGTTGAATGGATTTGATAAAATTTGAGGATAAATTTTTTGTTGTTTGTTTGAGTAGATTTGGAGGTAATTGAGAGTGATTTTGAAAATAAAGTTTGTGAGAATTAGTCTAGAATTTGATTGATGTGACAAAATAAAAAAATTTGTTTAATGGATAGAAATTGAAGATTACCAAAATGCCCTTAGTTATTAAAGGAATATAAAATGGTAATTGTTAAAGTTATATTTAATTGTAAAAATGTTTACTAAGAGTAAAAAATTAACATTAATTATTAAAATTAATTTTAATATTGTAAAAAAGTTTATTTTAGTAAAATGAATTTATTTATCCACTAAACAAGTTACTACCGATTTAATTAAAAGAATCATAAAAAAAATTAGAAGATTACAATACAATGTATTATAGAGCTTTCAAAACGGGTAACTCGGCCCGACCTGACCCACCACGGGTTGGCCACTTAGTGAGTCAACCCAACCCGGCTCATTTATTAGCGAGCTAAAAAAATTCGAACCCAACCCGACCCACCACGGGTTAGTGGATTAAACGGATTGGCTCATTGGCTCACTGGCTCACTTAATTAACTTTTTTTTTACCCTCTTCTTCTCAGATTCTTATAACATGTTACTTTGATCGATCAAATTGAAGCAGTAATAATTGGACCAATTGATATAATAGAAAATGAAACAAAAGAAATGTATTGTTATATATATTATAAGCTATCAAGTATTAAAATTTGCCAATTTAATTTAATGAGACATACACAACTGTTTGACCAAGAAACTACATATAGCTTTTAACAAAAATATATAGCACAAGATAAAACTTTCATGCTTGTAAATAGGTCTAAAAACAACATAAAACAAATGATATATTCCTGAATTATCCAATCTATAATATTATCCATCTATTAAATTGGAGTCCTGAATGGATAAATCCACAGTATTATGCTCTCTTAAAGCATCTTCTTTTTTATCTCCATCTATAATATTATCCAATCTATAATCTTAGGGTTTTATTTGCAGAGGGGTAAAGGTTGTACATTTTGAATAATTAATTTGATTTCAATAAAAAAAAAATAGGATTTGAATAATTAATTTAATTTAATTAAAAAAAATAGGTGGATTGGTGAGCCAACCCGACCCACCACGGGTTCAACCCGTGTGAGCCGGGTTCTTAGTGAGCTGGGTCAAAATTGGCTCGCATAAAAAATTTTGCATTTTTTTTCAACCCAACCCGGCTCAAACCTGTGGTGAGTCGGGTTGGCTCACGGATTTCAACCCATTTTGACGACACTACAATACATAATTTGATAATATGAACAAAATGGTATTAGATGATTTAAATAATGTTTTAAATCAAATTCAACCCAAAATACAACATAGAAAAATTGCAAATGTGAATAGATCAATGGCAGCGGAAAAAAAAAAAACTAGAAATGAAAACGGCGTCGTGCGTTACCAAGGGGTTATTCACAAACTCACTTGTACTGCTCTAGCTTGCTTTGAGCATGCAACTCGAATGTGGGAGCTTCTTTAAACTAGAATGCGTTTGCGATATTCAGAGGCCCTTCTTCTTCATCAACCATGGAAGAAGAAGGTAGGGTTCTGTTCATTGTCCGTTGTTGATGGTCATAATTGCCTTCTGAATCTGCTAGAGATCGAGAAGGTTCTGACGAATATCAAAGTTAACGACGTTAAGGTTATACCGATTTCCAAGCATTACGATTGGGCTGATTTCGTGGTTCTCGCCACTGGCGGGTCCACCTGGCATGTCAAGAACATAGCCCAAGCCCTAATTTACAAGGCACCACACCCTCCTTCCTTCACCCCCTTTATTGCTATATTTTCATTATCGATTTTCGATTGAAACTTGAAAGTGGTTTTCATTTTTGTTTTTCTTCCGACTTATGTATATTTGTGTTTGTCCATGCAATTGTCTCTGTCGGTTCTCCAACCTCCTCGTTATCTCCGAAACCCCTTTAATTCTTGTTCCCACACCATTGGGACTTGACCCCAGAGGCTGCGACTACGAGTGGTTGCGTTTCAGGAGGAAGACATTGTATACAGCCAACACTATGGCGGCGGTTCCCACCACCACAAGACCGTAGTACAACATGGCATGTTGTTGTTGTTGTCGGAAGAGGAAGAGGGCGGAGAGGGGATGAAACTGTGAAAGGGCTTAGAACACATAGTAGAACCGAATACGATGCGCAGAACCGAATATACAATTTATGCAATTTCTTGTAAGCACTGGAACTGGATACGTGATGTCTGGAATCGAATACACGTGCTTTGCAATTTCTACTAAAAGCTGGAACCAGATACGCCATATTTAGAGAACCGAATACACGACCATCTTCTTGAAGAACTGGAACTGAATACATGAAGAACAACTTAACTCTTCTTCAACCGCTGCTTCAAGCTCCTTCTTCATCATCCATGAACCCCTTTCTTCGTCATCTCAGCTCCAACATGCAACAACCACATCAAAATCTCAAAGAAAGATTACCTATATGACTTTTACAAATAAATTAGTGCAAATCTACGCACTTAAGCGAGACAGTTAAATTGATTATATCTTGCAAATCAGCAGTTTTCTTCCCTCGTAAATCAGCACAAACAAACAAGAAAAATCACTCAAATCATTCTTCATTTTTTTTTCATAAATAGTACTTTCCCTTCAAGTAAACACGGTTGAACACATTTCCCTCCAAAATTTCTTACAACTATGAATTAAATATCAATTACAACTATGAATTAATCATCAATTAGAACTATGAATACATCGATAAAACAAAATGGTTGAGGGATTTCATCTATCTCACAAATTATTATTTTTAAATCAAGAAGTGAATCTTTCCTTTAATTTCGCATTCATAATAAATAATCATAAATATGTTTACAGTAAAAAAAATCCAAATTAATGAGAAACTGTGCTAATAAATTATAATTGAGAGGAAAGAATAATAACTGATTTAATTTAGAAGTCATCTCATCTTAACTTTGTCTTAAATCATTTTTTGAGACTTTAGAAGTTAACATTTTAGAAAAGTTTTATATTAAGTGAACCAAACAAATAAACTTAATTTTATAAGGGAAGACATCATGTCATTAGACAACTTTAGTTATATAATAATAGGTATTTTTCTTTTGGATAAAAGTAATTTTATTTTGGATAAAAGTAAGATCAAGCAATTTTTTTTTGGTTTAAAGGTTAGAAAATTTTTAGAAGCAAATTTGTTCCAAGTGAATAATTACTGATTGTGCATTCCCATACAAGGAATTCAATTATTTATCAACTGAAGTTTTTTTAACAAAGAAATAATTGAATAAATCCCTTCTCATTTGTCTCTTATAGATAAACATACCAAATTACATTTGAATAAATAAAGAAAGAACAGTTCAATGTTTAGTTAGTTTCCCTTTTGAAACTAACGAACAACTGCTTTATTGTCGGATCCGTTAGATTTTCTTTTTTAAAATAAATAAAAACCTTGGATTCAAATGTTGAATGTTAGACTTGTTTCATCATTCTCACATTCATAACCACAACAAAAATAATAAAAATGAAAAATTAGATGGAATTGACGTGATAATTCTGGAACCATCTTGATACCTTTGGTTTATAGAAATCTCTAGACACATTCTCTTCTTTCACTTCTACCTCTCTCTATATATATACATAACTTTCTGTGCGATCGTGCCGAAACATAGAAAAACGTTTCTTGTGGTCGTGTGATATCTGAGTTATAAGGTCTGACTTCTTTAGTAGGCATTTGTTAGTTTGTTGGTAAGTTATGGATGAGGATTTCGAATTCCCAAATGCTGGCAACATGGAATTGCCTGAGGAGGAAATGGAGAGTTCCAACCTTAAGGTTGGGGAGGAGAAGGAGATTGGGAAAATGGGACTCAAGAAGAAGCTCCTGAAGGAAGGTGAAGGTTGGGACAGCCCCAACAATGGAGATCAAGTTGAAGTGCATTATACAGGAACCTTGCTTGATGGAACCCAATTTGATTCTAGCCGTGATACGGGTACACCTTTTAAGTTCAACCTTGGCCAAGGTACAGATTCGTTTACCAATGATTCACTTTTATCCTCTAATTTTTTTTAAAAATTATTAGAGTTTAATTATCTATCTTTGCCATAATTGTGTTAAGTTTTATATTTAGAATGACTGTTAGAGAATAACTTCAGTTAATTCAATCACTTTTATCTTCGTCATAATGCTATGAGCCAAACCTTTGGTAATGCATGCGAATTAATGTTAAATGAGTTTGATGATAATTATGATAATGAATGCTTTGTGACATGATTAACGCAGGGCAAGTGATCAAGGGATGGGATGAAGGTATTAAAACTATGAAGAAAGGTGAGAATGCCCTTTTCACCATACCCCCAGAATTGGCATATGGAGAGTCTGGATCTCCTCCCAATATTCCCCCAAATGCAACTCTGCAGTTTGATGTGGAATTGCTGTCTTGGACAAGTGTGAAAGACATATGCAAGGATGGAGGAATTTTGAAGAACATAATTACTGAAGGGGAGAAATGGGATTATCCTAAGGACCTGGATGAAGTGTTTGGTATGGGACTATATCCACTTTTGTCTGAGGTTCACCTGTTTGAGAATTTTGTTGTGCAGTTCCAAAAGTTGCCTAACTTTTTCTGCATTCTGCAGTCAAGTATGAAGCTCGGCTTGAAGATGGAACAGTCATTTCAAAATCTGATGGGGTGGAGTTCATTGTGGAAGAGGGTCAGTCTCACTCTTTGTCAATTTCAATTTTTTTTCTTGATCATGTTGTTAGATTCTGATGGAAGTAACAATCTGACGACTATTTTCATACAGGGTATTTCTGTCGTGCCTTGGCTGAGGCTGTGAAAACAATGAGGAAGGGAGAGAAAGTTCTCTTGAATGTGAAGCCACAATGTGAGTTAAAGTTCTATCATCAGCAATATCTGAGTTCCAATTTTGCTTGTGCAAGTTTATTGACATTCAAAATTTAACAGATGCATTTGGTGAGAGTGGAAGGCCAGCATCAGGAGAAGAAGGTGGCGTACCTCCAAATGCTTCGCTTCAAGTGGATTTTGAGTTGGTCTCGTGGAAGAACGTGTCTGACATTACTAAAGATAGGAAGGTTCTCAAGAAAACTTTGAAGGAAGGAGAGGGATATGAACGGCCAAACGATGGAGCTGTAGTTCAAGGTATGGTTTTGTGGGAACCTAACATTTCTGATATAATTTTATCAAATCCTCTTCCTTGGTTAAATGTTTTGTATGTTGGATGGGAAATTGAAGATATGCAATAATTCCTTTGCTGCAGTGAAACTGATTGGCAAGCTACAAGATGGAACTGTTTTCACTAAGAAGGGCTATGACGATGAACAGCCATTGGAGTTCAAAATTGACGAAGGTGACTGAAACAATCATATTAACCTCTTGAATCACAAGTCCCTTTTTGCTTACATTGATATTTACTAAGCTGTATATTTTGATCGACCATTTAGAGCAAGTAATTGATGGACTTGAAAAAGCTGTGAAGAACATGAAGAAAGGTGAAATTGCATTGCTGATCATACAACCTGACTATGCTTTTGGTCCATCTGGGTCCCCTCAGGAATATGCTAGTGTTCCTCCCAATTCAGTTGTGTATTATGAAGTTGAGCTGCTTTCCTTTGTAAAGGTGAGAGAGCTATGTCTTCACCTTTTTAAAGGATCTTTTAGGTTCGAATAAGTTTGAAATATAGACTTTAATTACTGAAAACGGGGGTGCAATGTAGGAGAAGGAATCATGGGATCTGAATACACCAGAGAAGATTGAGGCAGCTGGGAAGAAAAAGGCAGAAGGGAATGCTTTATTTAAGGTTGGAAAATATGAAAGAGCGTCAAAGAGATATGAAAAGGTACCGCTATAAGGGCCAACAGATTTTATTTATGTTATTTATGTTACTTGGCTATTGACAGTTATGCTATGGCAAGAATGAACTAACGACAGCTGTTCGCGCTCTGTTGGTGACAGGCCATGAAATTTATTGAATATGATTCTTCCTTCAGTGATGAGGAGAAACAGCAATCCAAGGCATTGAAAATCACATGCAATCTCAACAATGCAGCCTGCAAGCTGAAGCTAAAGGAGTACAAACAAGCAGAAAAGTTGTGTACGAAGGTAATTTTTTTATTCGGACTAAAGCTGTTTCTTCTTTTTTGCATCGCTGAATTCAAGAAAATGAATTCAAGAAAATGAAAAAGGAATAGTGTGAATTGTCAACTGGTGACATCTCTGAGAATTTCGTTTTATCATGTAGGTGTTGGAGCTTGATAGTAGAAATGTAAAAGCATTGTACCGGAGGGCACAAGCATATCTTCATCTTGTGGACTTGGATCTAGCTGAGAGGGACATTAAGAAAGCCCTGGAGATTGAGCCAGAAAACAGGTATGTCTTTGTTTCGAGTGTGATCAACTTGAATATGCAGTTATATGCTTAGTTCCAGATACAACACTGTAATAGTTGTCTTAATGTATGGAATTTCTTTTTGTATTTACTCTGTTGGATGATATTATCAGGGATGTAAAGATGGAGTACAAAATTTTGAAGCAGAAAGTTAGAGAATTCAACAAGAAGGACGCACAGTTCTATGGCAGCATGTTTGCTAAACTGAATAGACTAGAACAAGCAAGAACAGCAACATCAAAACAGGAGCCTGTGCCAATGACTATTGACAGTAAAGCTTAATCTGGAGCTATCTTTGTCTGTGGCCGTTTACGATTACTAATACGATATTCTAATTAATGTGGTGTCTCCCATAAGTAGCTTTGCTCATGTCTTGTGTGATTTTCATATCTCTCTGCCGTCAGGTGTCCTTCTTCAAATATATGTACACCGATGATTAATAAGAAATGAAGTAAACCAAGTTTTGGTAAATTTTTAATGTCTCCTTCCCAGAAACACACATAGAAATTAGAGTTTACTTTTTAAACTTCCAAAATAGTACCAATAGTCCTTTCCAGTACGAAACGTGGAACTCTCGGTGGACGCAATAATCCGTCCTAGCTACGCATCACTTGTAAATTTAACTGAACATCAACTTTTGGAGTAATTGTTTACAAACTCGTTCTTGTCATCCAAATTGCATATAACAATCTTCGTAAGAACCAAAGCAGAACTTGTGAAAAAAGGAATCCGTTATTGACTTTTGCTTCTGTCTCCCTTGGTGATTGTTATCTCCTAATGATGCTCGTAATTTCGAACATTTCGTTTCATATATTTATTTTATCTTCAGAACACACTGATAATAGGTGATTGAAAAAGTTAGAAAGGAAATTGAAACTTTTTTATGGTGGAGCTGGTTAATGGGTAGAGTGCAACGTTAACTGTGTAAGATACCATCCAGTATGTCCTGCACCTAAATAAATGTTGGGTTTACTCTGAAATGGAATTTTCAGAGTAGAGAGTATTTTTGATACAGTCAAGTTAGATGGCATAGGATCTTTTGGCGACTCCGAGCCCTACCGACCATGTTCATAAACAAATTTACAGCAGAAGCAATATATGTTTTGCATTTGCGATGAGAAACGCATGAGCATAAGAGGTTCAATTATGTGAAACAAGACCAAGCTACGTGAAAAATCTAAAACATACATTACCATAAACAATGTAGTAGTTGGAAGTCTTCCATTTTAAGTGTTAATCTATATAAAACAGGAGTAAACATCCAATAATACAGCAGCCTCCAAAATAAGATAAATATGTCCGTTTAAAATAACTAATAGACAAGTCCGTGAGGGCTCTCTACCAATATTTGTCTTTATATTTTCAAGCTCTAGTTTATACCTGTAGTCTCTGCAAGATCGCAATACAAGTCAACCTCACAATCTTTAATTTTGTTCTTCAACCTCGTCGTCGGTATCTTCAAAACTGGTTTCTGTTGAGCTTCATCCACATAATTCCCTGCTGCTCAAATTTTGGAAACCATAGTAATGGCTACCTCATTCAAGATAAAATCAACTGATAATTGGAGAGATTTTAGGGATTGACGTGACTAGCAGAAAAAAATACAGATTTAATTAGAACAGCAGCCTTCTCCAGATTGGTATTAAGGGTAGATGATGTACAACTTAGGGCCATTTGAGAGCGCCAGTAAACAATAAAACAACCCTTTGCCACTCCAACTAACCTCCTATTTATCCTACTAGTCACAGTTTAGTTAGTTACAACTGTACTGTGTTAGCTACAAGTGTATATAATCCCTATTCTTATCTCTACTCTTCTGTCTTTGCACAAACACCTGGGGTCTCATCACTTCAATAATGCCACTTCATCAGTTATAGAAACGGCTTGGAAGGAACATAGAACGCTCAGAAACTCTTTGTGCCTGGAGTCTACAATATCTTTAAGTCCACCTGATAGACTCACACCTTTCATAGGAAGGTTCGGCAAGAAGGAGCAGTCAAAAGGCGAAGGTTGCATAACAACAGACATGGATCAGGTTCCCCTCATTACTTTCCTCTCATTACTTGGTAAAAGTACTTCCCCTCATTACTTGATAAAAGTACTTATCATCGTTGCAGCAAAGACATCTACATCAACAAAACCATTACCAGGTTGATTCGATTTCTATGTTTTAATTATTCTTTGTTCCATTATCAGAATGCTTAACTTACACTTTCAAAGGAAGTTAGGTAGGAAGAGCAGTCAAAAGGCAAAGGTTGCATTCCAACAAACGTGGGTCACGTCCCCCTCACAACTTGGTAAATGTACCTGAACCAAGAGTTCAACCATCGTTGCCAGTAAAAGCATACATGCAGCATGCATAATAACCATTACCAGGTTGATTAGATTTATAAAACATATTTTTTCCATCATCAGAACGCTTCTCAAAGTACACACAAGTATCTCATGGAGTTTTCAATCTCTCTTCTGATCCAACTTCAAGATTCTTCAGGAATGGGATCCCCTTGTTGTTCATTGAAATTAATATTTCTTTAGCTTTGCTTTCCTTTCCAGAAGATCTGTAAAAATGCACAGCTGCACTCATGATAAACCTGTCTCCTTTTGTTGATTCGTGTATACTTTCAAAAAAGTTTATTCCCTCTTCCACATATCCATATTTCAGGTAACCATTTAGCATTGTACGGTAACATACTAGATCAGGAACTAAACCAAAAGTTGATAGCTCCTCATAAACCCTCTTCGCTTCCTCAATCAACCCAGCTTTTGTAAAAGCATTAACCAAAATATTAAAATGGACACAAGATGGTGGAATGCCTTTACTCTGCATATCATGTAAAGTTTCTTCAGCTTTATGATAGTTCCTATTCCTCGTGTACCCTTGGATAAGGGAAAGATACGTGAAAGAATCAGGCAAACAACCTTGCCTCTGCATGGCCTGGAAAATTTTATCTGTTTGGCGAAGATCTCCAGCACTAGCATATACATTGATCATGATATTGTAACTTACCTGCATTCACAAGCAAAGGCAAGGAATTAGCACTAAACTATATGATGCCTGAAATGCAACATATTCCTTGTCGTAGAATGTTGGAAGTATGATAATGCACAACCAATGAACTATAAATAACCATTAACAGCGTCTGACTGCAATCAACATACAAATTGTACTTGGAGTTTCTTTCGAGCAAAATATGATTTATTTAGCAAAACTATCACATACAAAAAAAAAAATGGAAGGACTGGAAGATTTTGGGATGAAAATCTGGCAAAAGTATCAAATTTACCTTTCCAGGCTTTATACCTTCTTTCTGCATTTTACTGAACAATTGGGAAGCTTCAAGAATCATACCTACAAAATTAAATAATTACAGTTGCAAAACCCTAGGAAATACCAAACATGAAAAAGTAAACAAAATAATAATCATACAGACTTTGGAATATCGAAGTGTTAATCTCATCATGTTTGTGCTCTCCATTTTATTTTGAATCATACATTCATATCAGATACTATTAGTGAAGATGAATTATGGACATGAATTCTAGCCAGATACAACGTTGCATTCATAATTATCAGAACTCATCTAGGTTCAGGTAAAAAGGTCAAATACCAGCTTTCCCATAATAGCCTATCAAATTCATGTATGTTTTTTCATCCAGCGGGACATCAAATGAGCTAGCTTTGTTGAACATCTCTACTGCTCTATCCAACTTCTGATCTTGTCCATAGACACTGTCATCAGTTTAACATTACGTCAAAAAACCAGTATAACCAAGATATGAAACTTCCAATTCGAAAACAGCCTATCAAAACTATAACCTTATCATTGTGTTGAATGTTTCAATTGATGGAGCAACACCAGAGGAATTCATGCGGTCAAAAATACTGGATGCAAATTGCAATTTGCCTGCAACACCAAAAAAATAAACATATAAATAAGCAAGCCTCCAGTTTCATTTACCTCTCCTATTCATGCAGGATGCTTGATATCAACCTGCTTGAAGCATGGCCTTGATAAAGGTGTTGTAAGCCACAGTGTCAAGCTCCAGGTTGTTTTTAAGACTGCTGTAGATAAAATTCTCAGCCTCCAGATGTTTTCCTGGAAAAGAACTAGGCATGAAATTATTTACCAAATGCCAAATAACAAAAAGTGCATCACTTCCACATTTTCAGAAAATAACATATATGTATGATTTCTAACAATTCCATGTGATAATAGACATCTTAAAAATAAAATCCAATTCTCATGCACTAAATGCAACAGGACGCCAGCATCCCCTTAAATGCAGTAAATTACTGTAGGAATTGCTGAAAGGAAGTCAATTAAATTTGAAAACACAACTTCAGTAAACAAGGGAAGCAATCTTTAAATTTGTGGATAAAAGAAGAAATTCACAGTGCACTTGATTTGAGGAAAACGAAGTGGAAAAACCCTTTCCTACAACTTTTGTCTCTTGTCCAATACTGGGGAGATGTGCAGGGGAGGGCAAAGTGATCTAAAATTTTGGAATGTGCTGCAAAATCTATCCTTGAGATTTTAGTTAACCTCCTTTCTTCTCTAATATTGGTATCAATTTCTGTCCCATCTACTCATACCCTCTGTTCTTATCCCCTCCTTTGAAACAAAGGCATTGTAAGATAAAAGGATAAGAACGATAAGAAAATAAGACTACAAAGAAAAACTCAACCAAAAGAAAAATTAAAAAAAAATCAATGGAAGAAAGCTACCCAGTCCTTAAACATATTTACAAGTAAAACCCCTTTAAAAATACCATGATCCTTAATTGGATGAAAACAAAATGGTCACTCATTAAGCTTTTCCTAATGAAACATCAATCAAGTTCCAATCAAATGCATCAAACAACAGCACAAGCATCAGATCACCAAAAAGCTTCTCAGTTCTACCAGACCCTGCAAAACTGATCATACTGGTCCAAGGACCTAGGACATACCCAAAACACTCAGAAGACGATAACCAACTGATTTCCATCAAGAAGCAGATACACAGGACAATGCAAAAACATAAAGACTGAGCTTGCATCATAACAGACATATTAGACAAAGTAGTCTCATGCACCCTACAACATGTCACTCATTTTAATTTTATTAAGCTTGCCTGTCAAAATAACGGAATTTTTCCTGGAGGGGATGAGTGCATGATTGAAAATAATTAATATTAGTTATTAGAGAATAAAAATACTTTGTAATCTATAGACTAGAATTTACTTACTGTATGTTTCTTTTATTTGCAATCAAAGATTGTATTTTCTTATATTTGAAATTGTAGTTTGGTTGAAATTGAACTTCAATTGATAACTCAATCAAGCCCTTCAAAGTCCAGGCAAAAGAGATGGAAGAGAAGAGTTCGAAAAAGCATGGTTTCTCAAGGAGCTCAGAAAGGATGACCAAGAAAGATCAAACCTCCCATCTCAACCAAATAGAGGAATATTCTAGATCTAGGATTTGAATTTAAATTTTGAATTTCCCTCTTCATTTGAATTTTGACACCTGTGGCTAATATAGTAATCTTGCTTCTTTCTAAAACAATAGAGCATATGTCTTTTAAGAAACTGATTATCTTTCGTTTGAGTCTTATCATGAGATCCTTGGAATTCAAGTGGTGAATCTCCCTTGTACTTATAGAGTTAATGTCAAGTGGAGTGTTCTTCATTTCTAGTTGTCCTCCATCTTTTCTATTTCCTTTTGTTACATTCATGTTCTAATTGTTTTTATGCTTTTATATTCTCACCACTTATGCTCTTGATTTTGGTTCATATATTTGTTCATTTGTTCTTATCATGATCTAAATGCATTCCACGTTCTTGTGTTGCTTGAATATATGGATTAAAGCCTCTGATGACTCCTTCATGTTTTAAGTCAACGATGAGATTCACTCTATGGTGTGATATTGCAAGGATATCGAAAAGTTATGAAAGCTCCCAAGCATATTCATCCTCTATCATTTGGTTTCAAAGCATGCAGGCCATGCCTTTATGCCAACTCTGTCGGTTTCACACAAAGTTTAGATGAGTATTTTAAAGACATGGAAACTACCATGTTCAAAGCTCTATCCAAAATCACTACAGTATTTTACAGCACTTTGCTAACATACGAATTATAGATTGTAAAAAAATTATTTTGTTGATTCATGGGTCACACTCAAGTTAATTTACTTTTGAAGGGCCATACCTGCATTGGTCAAAGAATTTACAGCAATGCTCATTCCAACAGCACCTAGATCATGTCCTTCCTCAGTCACTTGCTTGTATAGCAAATATGCTTTCTCTTGTTTACCACATTTAGCATATGCATTGATCATAGAGTTATACAGTTGTTTACTAGATGTGGAGGGATTTACATATTCTGCAAAGATATCTTCAGCTTGTTTCAGCATTTGTCGTTTGCCATAATGGCTAATTAGAGATGCTACAGTGGCTTCTTCCATTCTGCAGCCAAGCTTAATTAATTGATCACTAAGCAATTCTGCTTTACTGATTTCTCCTGGAAAAATAAAACTTTATGCTGGAAATGGAAATTTCAAAAAACATATCAAAGAATGTGGTATACGTCAATTTTACATAGACATACCTTCTTTACACAAATTGATGATGAGTTGACAAACAACCTTTGATCCTCCAGCAGCATAACCCAACAACAGTTTTAGTAATAATTTTGTTCCGCTGAAGTTGTCATTTGTCAGAAATAAACTGAGCATCAGCCCAAGAGCTGTGGCATCAAGTTTGTCAATGGGCTCAATGGCCACAAGTTCATCATTAGATTGTGCATCCCCCTTATGTTCATAGAGAATCCAATAGAATGTCTTGAAGAATTTATCACTTTGAAATGATTCATTCTCAACCATCTGATTTGTGAACTGCTCAGCTTCTGGCAGCATGCCCTCCTTACAGTAAACCTTCATAACTGTTCTATAAAGCTCTTTGTCAAAAAGCTTCCCATCCTCCCTTATTTGGATAATGAACTCCTTCGCCTTATTCATCAAATTAAGACCCACATACAAACTGAGCATATCATTACAGGAACCAGCATCAGGTGGACCTGTTTTGGAGAGAGCTAGAAATGTTCGTTCAGCAGATACTACATCTTCTTTCATCACATAGCACTGCAGCAGCACAATATATGCAAATCGTGAGAACCATATGTTGCTAGACTTCATGCGTTCAATAACTTGTAAGGCTTTGTCTACATTTCCTGAAGTAAGATGGACTTGAGCCATTGCCAAATATGTTTTCTCACTGGTGAGTTGACCACGCTGATTTGTCTCTTCAAATGCTTTGTGAGCATCCTCATATAGGCCAAGTTTTCCATAAATTCTTATAAGTAAACCATATATGACTTCATCAGCAGGAATTTTGTTGCTTACCATTTGTGAAAAAATGGACAGGGCCCTAGGGTAGTCCTCATATTTGTAATATAAAGATAAAAGTGAAGCACAAGTGTAATTACTAGGAACTATCCCTCGAAAAATCATATCCTCATACAGTCTTTGCACTTCATCTCTGTTGCCACTTTTAGCACTTAAATTTATAAGCAGATTATATGTTACCTCCTCAGGAACAACTCCATTATTCCTCATCTCATCAAAAGTCTTGAAAGCATCTTCATACAGCCCTTCTTTGACAAGTGAGCTGATGGATACTGTATAAGTAAAACTATTAGGTATCACCCCTTTTTCCAACATATCCTTCCACATCTGTACAACCTCTCTATGGAGTGATTTCTTTTGCAAAGAAGACATCATAAAGTTGAAGACAGCAACAGATAGAATTGTTCCCCTTTCTTTTACAGCAGAATAAAAAGACAGCATAGCCCTGTGGCGTCCCCATCTGGCATACGAACAAAGCATTGTACCACAAGCAACTTCATCTGGCTCACAATCCACATCGAGCATCTCCAAGAAGATCTCTTCTGCCAGTTTCAGCTTTCCAACTTGCCCATATAAGCGCAATACTATTGTGTAGACAACTACACTTGGTCTGTAGCTCAGCTGTCGAGGCACCAAACTATCAATTCGCTATATCAATCTCTACAGTTTGGAGGAAAACAATATAAAATGAAACAATATTTTATTACACTCTTTATCCTTTACTATATTATGATTTTTCGAATTTAGTCCCCAATTGATTTTTCTGTCAGGTTTGGTTCTAACTTTTTAATCATGTAATTTTTAACTTGCACCCAATATTTAATGGAAAAGCAGATGTGTTAGTAGAGTGATGAGGTGGATGTGCATTACACTGTCACATTTTGAACTGTTTCTATTTCCCATAAGAAGAGGTGAGTATCTCATATTTCAACAAGATGGAAGTTATTGTTTACAATAATAACAACCTATTCACTCTGCATTCTTCTATATTTCTTTTTTACTTAAATTTTCAATTTTTTAATAAAACAAATTTAAACTTTTTTCTAAAATTATTAACTGCCAACCAAGCATGTCTATAGGAATAACATTTTTTAGCATAACATCCCAAGGGGTATGGTTAGAGAATACAAAATCGGGCATTGTTATTACATTACGGTTTACACTTTCAGTATACGGCCTATTTTCTACAATTTATTAGTAAACAAAGAGAAGGAGGAACCTGCAATTTCATCCAAGAAAAGAAGTCTCTGACTTGCCTCCACCCCTTTTGCTCCTTGAGCACGACGCACATCTCCTTGAAGCTGAGTTTTCCGACAAAGGAAGCCATTTCCATCCTCATGTCGTAGTCGCCGTCAACTTTCTGGGAGAGAGAGCGTACTTTCTTTATTGCGGCCACGACGTGCTTGCCGTAGAGGTGACCGTTGCGGTCGTCTTGCAAGTACAGGAGCATCTGCTCGGGGGTCCTCTTTATCCACCTCGGCGTCTGCGCCTGCGGGCCCTGGTTCCGCCGCAGAATGCTCTGGTACGCCGCCTTCTTCTTTATGATGCGCCGCGCGTTGTCGTCGGACAGAGGCGTCTTCGGGTTCCTCGTTCGCGGCTTCGGCCGCGTGGGGTCGCCGAAACTCGGGGACCACGGGTCGCGCTGGATGGAGCAGCGAATGAGAAGGGGAGGGAGTCTCTTCTTCTTTTTCTTTTCCATAAGGGAATGGGGTTTTGAAGGTAGACTCAAGTAGAGGAAAGGGGATTTCAAACACTCCATCAATGTGCAGCTGCTCCCTCAAACACTTAGCCTGGCATTAAAATTCTGGATAAACACGCGCGCACGCACACATATCCATTATGAATTTCATATTATCTTACAAAAGTTTATTAAAATTAATAATAATAATAAAGTTAACAAATTTATCATATTTTAATATATCTTAAATTAATAAATTATTTTAATTCAGGTATATCTATTATTTGTGAAAGAGAACTCAATTTTAAAAGTAATATTATTTATAAAAATATTAAACAACACTAAATTTAAAAGTTATACCAATTTAATCTAAAGGTGTTTAGTGTTTTTGCATATGGTTCTAGAAAGGAGATAAAAGCGAGTTTAGTCTCCTTTTTGCACATAGTATAATCTAAAATGAAATAATGTTCACTGATAACCCTTGAATGATAACTCAATTTTTATAATATCATAGTGAAGCTTATTCCATTACTTTAGCATTTTTGTTTCTTTTATGTTTCAAATTTAATTTAAATTTGTTTAAACGGATAAAAATAGGTTTTAAATATAATTGGTTTTTTTAAAGAATTGTATTTTTCCGTTTTAGAAAAAATCAGAAAATAAAAATAACAAAAATCTGTTTTTGTTAGATTAGGCTCTCCTGTCTCTTAATTACTTTTTAACCCCTTTTTAAATTTTCTCTTTTTACAGGTTGGCCCCTGGTCAAATGAGTTGACCATGTTCGACCCAGGCTCTTGGAGCCAAAATGCACAGCAAGGACGCAGGCTCGAAAGGGGATTCAGTTTTCCCAAATCTCGTGGCTACAATGATTAGGTAAGATTAAGGTTAGGCAAAGGAACATTGGTCTGGAATCACGAATGCTTCAGGCACGACTCTACTTTGCTGCCGAAGGGATAAGTCAAAATAGAGGCTGACTGCATCTTTGCTTGAAGAGAAGCCTTGGTTCGAGGAGGGGTCTCTGTTTCTGCATCAGCACGTGGCTCGTGGCTCCATGCTCGAGTTTCCCTCGTTTTCCTTTATTCTTTCTCTTATATAAGACTTTCATGGCAGCAAGAGAGGGATGTAGAGGCATAACCCATAGATAGAGATTAGAAGATTAGGATACATTGTAGGGAAACCAAGTGACATTGAGTGACACAGTGACATTTGGGATTCTTCTTGTACCATTGATACAAACTTTTTCTTTCATCTTTTCTTTAGTTTCTTGTATCATTAGGCATAGAATAAAGTTTACTAAGTTATAGAGAGGACATCCTGAAACGCAGAAAGGGTCTTTTGTTCCACGAGGGCAAAGTAACTGTGGGAAGTGGCTTGGATTTATAGTGTAGAGAAGAGCATTGAGGGTTCTCGTGAGTACATAACAACCTTGTGATCCTTCTTTGTAAAACTCTGCTTACCTTAACTCAATACAATGAAAGTTTTCTTTCCAATTCTGATTTACGTTTCTGTTCTTTTTTTTTTCATTCTTCTTGTTTACTAGTTATGAATGCTACTTTTAAATCTTTCGCACCTTTATGATTTACTGTCCATTTAGTCTCATGAATTTTCATTCTCAGCTTTACATTTTGTTTCATTCTTGCATGGATTTTAATGTTCTTGGCTAGTTAATGTTTGATTTTGACTTTACTTTTAATTCTTGCACCGTTCTTTCCTTTTTCTTGCTCTGGTTATTTCCATTTTGCTTTTTTTTTTGAGTTTGTATGATTTCCGGTATCTTAGAATTAGTTCTCTAGATTTCCACTTGTTGGTATTGATTGCATAGTCATATAGTAGTGAATAGAGCATATGTAGTTATCCTTTTCGTTCTTGACATATATTCTGATGATAATTGAGCATAAAATCCATGTCTATTCATTTGTACGCGTAATTCATGTTTAGATGTTGCACTAGTTGGTGGTTTGAGTGAGAATTGCCAGTTTTAAGTTTCTGAATATGAACTAAAAGATCTGGACTTAATGTTTACAAAATGTCTTTATGAAGAGTGATTGAGACTCTTTTCACCAACCCAATGCACGTTTACTACTGAATTTGCCTTTGCCCATTTCTTTACCTTAGGTGTTTCTGCTTTGATAATCATAGGGTAGTTGCTTTAAATTCAATTTGTGTTTTAGTTTAGATTTTTATCTTGTCTATACTTTTTTATAGTTCTGTTCACTTGAGATTTTCTTTCTTGCATTGCATTTCTAAATTTCCAGTTCATGCATATAATTTAGTTTCATTTCTTGCACGTCACTTTCATTTCATGCTTAAGTTTTTTTTACCATTCTGTTCTAATTCTGCGAATATTTGGTACCCATTTAGCCCAGTTGGGTTCTGATTTTGTTTTCCTTGCATAAGTAGTCATATCATATAGCTTTTCAATTTTGAGTATATTAAAGAATACACATATTTGCCATTTTAGGTCCTACATATTTCCAATTGATCCTTGTGCATTAACTAGTTTTGAGCATCAATTCCGGATTAGTTAAGCACTGCATCTGCATTTTACATGCATATCATAGATTCATGCATTTTTTGTTAGGTGTTCTTTTAATCTCATTCATTTTCTTTCCCCGCCTTGTTTTAGTTTTTAGTTAGGATCAATTATACATATCAAAGCTTAACACGCACCAAATTCCATGGGTTCGATACCTTGGTTGCCAATTTATTACATTAGTGGGAAATCAAGAATTTATTGTAAAATCCTAGCGCAACATAAGGTCAAATAGTGATCCAAAACTTGATTGAACTTTTTTTTTATATTACTTGTTTGCTTGCACTCTTAAGAGGATCTAGGCCATTTATTTTTGTATATCAACCACTTAGCCAAACACCCTTCCCTTGCATTATTCTCCATTGCACCCACTTAGCCAAACACCCTTCCCTTGCATTATTATCTATTGCACCCTTCTTTGAGCCTAATTGACCTATTTCCTTGTGATTTCTAAGCTCGTTACATGCCATGGACCTTAAAACCATGATCAACCCAACCTTAGAGTTGTGAGGAACCTTGATACTATTTTGAGCCCTGTTGAGAAGCGTATGTGTGGAGGAAGAGGTGTAGAATATGATGAATTGTGAAAATTTGGAAGGGTGTATGAATGAAAAAAAATTAAAAAATCTGAATAAAAAATGGTCTACATTAAAATACAAAAGAGAAAAATGTAGAAAGAAGAAAGAAAAGTGGAAAACAAAGAGAAAGAAAAGATATTTTTCTGGTTTAATTGATTACTTTTTTCTTAAACATATTTTGCGCCTTATTCTTTTCACATTTCTCCATTGTTTCCTCACTTTTCTTTGGTTTTTAGCTTTGAATTCCTTTCTTTATCCTACCTTTACCTTGACAATATCGTGAGCCACATAAAAGTTCTTTTGATCTTGAGTGCATTAATTTAAGTGGTAGAAATTAGAGATTTTTTAAGCTTATGGCAATGCATGCTTGCATGAGGTGCTAACTGTAAATCTTCTAGAAACATAAGAGAATTTAGTGATACACATGTTGAGAGTTTGTCAATTTTGATCCCAAATCTATTTTGATTGAGATTCTTGTTTCTAATCCTTTAAACATGCTCTTGAATGGTTTGAATGATTCTAACTTTGATGGATGAAGGTTTTCCATGCTCACAATTTTTAATCAATGTGCTCATAATGCTTGCACTTTTCTTAGCTCAGTCTCGTCTTATCTAGTTCTTGTTATTTATGTTGTCTACATGGTCGTAGCCTAATTTTTTTACAGTCATTTATCTACAATTGTTGATAAATGAGTCTAGTGCCATAGGTTTTTATATTTGGTTTTGCCATAGGAATGCAAAAGTCAAGTGTGGGGTATACGGTAACTCAATTTCTATTCTCTCATATTGAAGCTTATTACACTCCTTTAGCATCTTTGTTTCTTTTATCTTTCAATTTTAACTTAGATTTTTGTATCTTAGGAATTTTAGGAATTACACTTGTCATGTTGATGGCAACCTCCTTGACTAGGTTGGGTCAAAGCTAGGAGATGTGCATGTAGGGCTGTTTCCTTGGATGAATGGTGCGGAAATGTGGTGGTAAATGGTCCAAGGATAATGAGCTAAGGTATGGATGGGATAGAAGCTCAAAGCCTCTAGGAGATATGGTGGTAGTGGTGGAGTGTTTAGTGGCTCCAAGAGAGGTTAGACCAACTCAAGGAGGAAGGTGACTAGAAGAGCCTCTAGGGTTGTTCTAGTCTTGATCAAGGAAGAATATGACCATATTTTGGCAGCATAACATTACTTAATTCTAAGATGAAATACAAAGGTGGAGACACCTCTATTTATAGGCCAAGGATGTCTCTTTCTAACCCTAACAGCACGATCTCCCACCTTTGCTGTCATTGGCAAAAGATGAGGTTTTCTAAGAAGTGGACAAGTGTCCACAAACCCTCTCCAATGATGGGAGGACATGTGGCCACTCACAAAACACAATTATCTCCATTCCGAGAGTGCCATGTGGCCACTACTAAAAGCAAAAACTCTCCGCTACTAAGGTGCCATGTGGCTACCTTTCATAAAGTAATTCCTCTCCAGTGGAAGCATGACACATGGCACACACTTTTCACTTGGTTTGGATGTCTAACTTTAAGGAAAATCCTATGCTACTTAAGCTTTAATACAAGCCTTAAACAAACATACATTACATGGCCAAATACAATGGTTTAAATTCCTACACTACTCTTCAATCCATGCTTCATGATGGCTCTAATGGTGGTTCACAAGGTAGAGTTGACACCATCTTCAAGGATGACTTTCACTCTCTTGAAAGTGCTTGACCATGGCTAAGAGATTTTCCATCACATGTTATGTTGCTAAACTACTAAGTTGGGGTTGTCGTGCTACTAAGTTGTTGAGTTCGAGATGTCGTGCTACTAAGCTGCAGAGATTGACTGGTTGACCTGAAGCTATTGAAGAAGGTCGACCTTGAGAGCTGCATTGAATTGGAAGGCAAAAGATAATAATATATGGATTGCTTCTAGACGTGCACGAAGTGCATAAGTTTTAGTGTAATCTATACCGTCCTATTATGAGTATGCTTTGGCTATTAGTCTTATTTTGCTTCTCACAACCTTATTTTACTTTCCAG